CACCAAGGTACCAAAAAGATGATACCTCATTGGACAGAATGTTTATGGATTCAGGACTGGGAGAGGGTCCCAATCGTTTGGTAGGCTTCTAAAGGGAACTGTGACAACAATTTCTAAATGAAACGCTCTCCTTAAAAACCAAGTATCGTTTTGGACGTTCAGTAGACCCTAGCTGTAATTGCAGTTGCGCGTGAAATTTCCAAACTTCCTGCTACATACCTTCCGTAGAATGAAAATCCCATACTTCTTCAAGTGACTGAGGAGAAGAAGACGCCATATAGTGCTGAGAAAATATGTTGGAGTGGAGGGGTACCGTGTCGCTTAGTTGATAAGCAGTTAGTAAATTAACAGGCATGATCCTTTGTGAATTAATATTTCGCGGTATTAAAAAGCCTCATAGTAGCAAATGTTAATGGAACCGAAAGATGGCCTTTTCCCAAGTATAGAATTCGAAGACGTAAGTTTCTACCAAATGAGTATAAGAAAGAATAACTTTGTGCAGTTTTTCTATAAAATGTATTTCAATTTATAAAGAAATCGAAAATTAAGTGAGGAAAGGAATACTATTTGAGAAGTATGCTTTTATAGATTAAATTTTTGTAGGCCGTCGGAAAATGCATTCAAAAGATGGCGCCGTGACGTGAATGAAATATCTTGGATTAAAGGCTGCACGATACGTAAGGTAACAGCCCTATTTAAGTCATCTTGTGGAATTAAAAACACATTTCAGAATTTCGGTTAGCTTTTAGCATCTCCCCTCCTACGCTTGGGAGGCAATTATCGACTCCCTTTTGAAGGACACATTCATGTGCATTTACTGTTTCACCTGCTCCTGTGGAGCAGGATACACTGGCCTAACAACGAGGCACCTGCAAAAGAGGGTACGTGAGAACATACCGGCCTGGTTAAGTAAAGGTGAAACTAGATCGATCTCGAGTTCTATTCTCGTACATCTTGTCGATAAGAATCATCGAGTCGATTCTAACGAAGCCTTTCAGGTTGTCTACCGGCCACCAGCCAACTTGTCCAAGAGCCTACGCCAGCAGGTGCTAGCAACAGCCGCGGTAGTGGCTACACGACTAGCGAATCCAGTGTTTTGCTGTCAGAAGACGCTAACACAGCGGCTGTCTGGCACCCGGTTGAGGCCGACGTCAGGTAG